AGCCATGTCTACGATGCGGCCCTTTAGACGAGCGCTGAGATAATTGCCAAAGCTTACAGGCCTTCGTTTTTGCCATGTCCAACTTTCGCTGGTTTTCAAAATTTTTGTTTTTGACTTCTGAAGGCCCTCTGGCAACCATCTGATAGCGCAAACCTTTTACAAACTGGTGCATCTATTTGCATTTTCTCAACTTTTTTCTAAAACCTTGCTGAATTATTTTGCAAAGATGAATTTTCAAAAAAATCGAGTGATACACAGCGGAACCAAACACCGCAAAATTTTTGGAATTTTTAAGTTTTAAACTCGAAACTACTAACAATGGAAGGATACTAGGTGACCATGGTCTTTTAAAATAAAAAGTACATTAATGAATGCTTCTTGAAGCGCTGATTTCAAATCTGCTTTCGGTATTTGCTGTGCACTCTTCCGAAAGAAGTTATGAACATTTCTTTTCACCCAAATTTGCATTGTTTTTGATGCAGGATTCACCAATATCGTTAGAACGTTCGCTTACGCATTGCAAAAGAGCGTACAGATAAAATAAGACTGTACGTTAAGCTCAGGAAAACTGTCACCGATACATCAGAGTCTAAAAGCCTGAGTCTACTGACGATTTTGAGTGCCTGGATCTCGCAAAATCAATATGGAAAAAAGTTCATAACTTCGTTTAGGGAGTCGTACAGCAGATATTGAACATGGATTTAGAATCAGCGTTCCAAGACGCACCTGCTGGTATACATCTCATTGCAAAAGGCCACGGTCACCAAGTATCCTTCCCTTGTAAGACTTAAACTACTAAAACTACTACTACTATTGAACTACTTAAACTACTATTATTGATTTCACAAAGTAAATGGGCGATTATTTCTAAAAATACGCAGAATTTTAAGATTTACAATCAACAGCGAGCACTTCTAAAGTCGAGAAATTTGACATTGTTTGTCGCGGATTGGGGTCCCCCGCTCCAGACGTCAGTGGTAACGCGCTCTCCTTCATCGGCGATAGGAGCGGAGGACGCCATCCGTGAGATAGAACAACGACACATGAGGAAATGGTAGCTAACCTGCTCCATGCTATTATGGCCTGCCACAAGCACAGCGCACACAAATCAGAGGCCCTAAGCTACCAACCAACCCCTTGGCCTACTGCCAGCCATCTCGAGCCGTTCACTCATGGACACTTGTGTCTGCTTGCAACTTGGGGCACTAGCTAGCCTCGTGCCTGGTTTTCTGGCAGATGGATCCTTACAAGACATGAGTGCACAAGAAACACAACAGCATACAGACATAACTGTGCCAAGGTCTGAGCCTATGGGCTACGACAAAAGTCAAAACACTACACTTCTAAGTGCCCCCCATTTATCCCCAATTGAACCAACACACAAGCAACTCAGTACAATGAGCAGAGTACACACCGCCAAAGATCTCACCTAGGGGTCGGTAAAAAGAAACCCCCGCGAAGTGGCTCCTCGGCCCTGCGGCAAGCAAGGAGCACACAGCCGGGTTATCTCGTGCAGGTGCCAGTCCTCCTAGCGTGCAGGTGTTGAACATCGCTGGCTCGAAAGGTGCGCTGCTTGATCGATCAATAGGCAGTTGAGGTAGTCGACCGCTCGCTGCTGGACAAGTGTGGGAGAATGCGTGACTTATGCGAAGTTAGACGTGGGAACGAGAGGCGGGGCAGCGCGAGGACTGGAGTTTCAGAACCCATCGCTTTGCGGTGGCAAACTACCTATAAAGAAGTCGCACAATCCGCGACATTGTTGTGGAAGAATGTTGTTATTGAAAATTGTTTGCAAATTTCGCATGTTTTGCAGAAAACAGCGTAAAAGAGTAAAAAAGTTGCATCGATTGGCACCTGAACTGTTCACTGCTGAATGTTCTAGGAGTTTAGAACAGACCAGATATGAAAGCTGGTCACTTCAGAAAATATATTTTAGTAATTCTGAATAAAAATGCTAGAAAAATAAAAAAAGCTCATTAATTTGCAAAAGGTTATCAGATGGTTGTCAGAGGTGCCAAAGTCTGAAACTATAATTCTGAAAATTAGCGAAAGTTGCACATGGTAAAAGTGAAGGATTGTAAGCTTCGGCAGTTATCCCAACGCTCGTCGAAAGAGCCGCCTCGTAAACATAGCTGCTGGAAAGAGGAAGAAATTCTGCATCGGATACTGTCAGGGCTCGGCACGAGGTAGGCAGACGGGGTTTCTCGAAACGAATTCTCCTTTGACCCCAATAGTTTTTACGAGTACCCCCTTAAGCCCAAAAATGACGCTTTGTGCTTGTGGAACGAGAGCACCGGCCACACTTCGCCTAAAAGCGCTCAAAAGCGCCCAAAATGCTCAAATTCCTCTAATTACTTCTCACCTGTATCAAGGTAGAAAACAGGAAGAAGAATAAGCAAGGAAAATGATGAAGGAATGAAAAAATATCAAAGGAACGCAGTTATAGGACTGAGAGAGGCCGTTCCCGCGCGTATCGATTGACTGGGGCGCGCATTTCATCTTAAAAAGCTAGGCTGCTGATGCGATTTTGGGCTCTAACAAAGACGAGAGGAGGAGTTTCGGAACCAAAATCTCACCATATAGTAAACTTTAGGTGAACAACAGATTTATCAAAAATTTTGAAAAAATTATGTGAATCGAAAGTTTTGCCCACCTCAGGTGGGCATTAGGTGGGCAATTGCCCACCTAATTTGGAAAAAAGTTAAGCACGCTCTTCATTCACACAAGTCTTTCATAATTTTTCATACATTGTTCCTTAGTCCCACTGCGCGTACACACACCAAGTCTCGCGCGATCTCGTATCTTTGCGCTGCGAACGAGCCATTTTTCTATTTTCTTGATAGTGGGAAATTTTCAGAAAAAAGCTTGATACAACCTTCATTCACATAATTTTTCAATTAAACTGCTAAGATAAGCCCTGCAGGCTTTATGTACCTACCAAGTTTCATACCGTATGGTCATCTGCGCGCTGCAAACGAGCCATTTGAATTCGCATCTTCATTTACCAGTTTTGCGAAATTTTTGAAAAAAATGCTTATTACACCTCCCATTCACATAAGTTTTTCATAAAATTTCATGCTTTGTTTCTACTAGCCTCTCTAATCATGCTGTTCAACGCATCGCTCATGCGAGTCGCGCACGAGGCAACTAGCGGCAACGCGGCGTAGTGCGCGCGAAGTCTGCTGTGCGTTGCGGTTTATGAAAACTATTTTCCGATGAATCAGATGTATAAGGTAAGCATGATTCGACCTTTTTTTGCTTGCACTTGGAATCTTCTTCCGGGGCTCCGCCCCGGATCTCGCAAAAACGATATCCCCTTTGCTTTTTGGCCCCAAAACGATTTCCAGCTTGTCATCTGCCCACCTCGTGCCGGGCTTTGGATACTGTTTGAAGTATTTGTTTATCTTCACTTTAGAGGTTTGCGGGTTGGTCTAAAGAAGACAAAGAATTTTTGCACCGACCTAAAATAAAAGTCAATTTTCAGCTTTCTGAATGTTACTTTTCGAAAATTATCGAATTTAGCTCTCCTCATTAGACTGTTCCATGTTAAAATCATCATTTAAAAAAACTAGGTTTACAGAAAGGTGGAAATGCACAGTTGTACTTATAGAGGCTCGTAGTATAATATTAGGTTGAACCGAAAGTTCTGTCGCACCATTTTCAAAAAATCATAACTTCTTTCGCTAACAATAATTTTGCGCAGTTAAAATTTTCTTAGAAGGCGCAAATCATGTAGTTTCCAATGCTTTTCCGGGGACTTTCAAACATGCTCAAGTTGCAGAGATAAAAGTGAAAGAACGAAATCATCCGAAATTCGGAATTTTTAAGCAAAAATTCTAATATTTTAGAAACTGTGAGATATCCAGAACAGCCATCAGCTTAAGATTTCTTATATTTTATTACTATGTGAGTCAAATGTGCTGATCAAGCTTTTCTTTCAAAAGTTATGATTTTTTGAAAAAAAATCCAAAAAATCATTTTTAAGAATTCTTGGGAAATCGATTTTTCGGCATTTTTTTTCGAAAATTCATAACTTTTGAAAGAAGGGCTCGATCAGCACAAACTTGACTCAGTTAGTAATAGAATACAAGAAAATAGGATGATGGCTATTCTGGATTTTATCGCACAGTTTCTAAATTTTTGGAATTTTTGCTTGAAAATTCCAAATTTCGGATGATCTCGTTCTTTTATTTTTATCTCTGACTAAGCATGCTTGGATGTCCTCAGAAGAGTTTTGGAAACTAGCTTTACGCTTTCTAATAAAATTTGATCTGCGCAAAATTGTTGTGTGGGAAAGAAGTTATGATTTTTTTAAATGGTGCGACAGAACTTTCGGTTCAACCTAATACTTATGTAAACAGCATAGCTTCTTGTATAAGCATGAAAAATTTCGTTTTTTTTTTTATTTCTGACTGAAGAAAAAATACAAGGACTGTAGTTAAGAGCACTTGATCTGAAATGTGTATGTATGAGCGAGTGAGAGATCGGTAGAATTTTTTTTTTGAAAAAAAAATACAATTTTTCTTTTTTTTGAGCATCCAGAGGCTTACAAATTTTGAACTTGAGTTGGATAGAAGCTGGTGCGATCCTTTACAAACCATCTTCTAAGGCTAGCTTTGCACTATCGAATGATACCCCAAGGCGATACTGAGATTAAGAAGTGTTGTGACTTACTGCGGCAAAAACAAAGTTAACCGGACTTGTGAAACAACCTAATAGCTTCTAAAAAGACAGCCATGGTTGAAACACCAGAAAAAAGAAATAAAAAGAAATTTTCACTATGCTTTTCTGCGTTCCTTGTTTGTTGCGTAACTATTGGATAATCTTCAGACAGCTAGAGAAGCAGGATTAAATTTCTGGTCTGTCTTTGCAAAACTAGAAGGAGCGGGATTTCGCGGTGGCCCCACTACGACGCCGGCGTGGCCACTCCGTGTGGTAGAGCCATCCCCTGCGGACATCGAAATCATAGATGGTGTCGTTCGACGAACTTGCAACAATCAATGCCAGATTATTACAAATGCGTTGAAGCCTTTCGAAGAAGAGCATCGATCAAGCACCAACAATCACTGGTTTGACAAAATATTGACAGAGAATATCCATAAAACAAGCTAGATTATCATTAGAGTAGGAGATACAAAAGAGATGAACATCACGAAAATCAAAATCCCTTCGATCAGCTGCATCCACAGAATACAAAGGACAGTTGTACACTGTGTGGGTTCATTTTTACTCTTTAGGTATAAAAGTCTTGATACCATGAATGATTCAGTTCCAATTTTTGAGAAATGTGCTATGGCAGGCACTGAAGAACATCCGGGTTTGAAACGCCTATGTACAAGTACTCTTCATTTATGGAACTCAATATTACCAACAAAGCTACGACTTCTAGAGTGTCAACGTATCTACCGAGTCAGTTTGAACTGCTATCCAAGATTTGTGAATGCAGCAACATGCAGTGATCACGTGAGATGCATATTCAATAATGGTAGCGCAAAACTTTTCCCTTCTATGACGTTTATGAATATTCAATATTAGAAGGTAAGCCCCAAGGCACTGGAAAGCCAGAAGTGTTGCCTATGTATTTGTTACGAAACGTTGGAAATGATTCATGCCATAACCACAAAACCGAAGAATTTGAGGTATGTACTAGGATTCTATCCTTGTGAATACTGTAGCAATCAATGCATATTTTTGAGGCAGACTGTAGAACAATACTCATCCCACAAAATGCTTCACTTTCTAAAAGTGCTCTTAAACGTTTGAAGCTTTTTTTGCTCATCTTGATGCATGTTAGCCCTCAGCTCTCACTCTTCCAAAGGCAAAGATTTTTTCGTAGCGGTAAGTCTTGAGTGAGAGGCATATCATGAGCCCTCAGAAAATCTCATCTCGGAAAATCCCATCCCCTCAATTATCCGCTTCCTCGACACAATACAAATGATAAGTGTACAGAGCTGAGTTTATCAAACTGGTTGAAGGAAGTCTTGCTTACCGTAACAGTTCTTCTCTCTTGTGAGAAACAAGGTTGATATTTGTCATCACAAGGCACCCGTACTATACTACCTTGAGAAAAGAAAATGTTGTAAATAAGGCTAGCTCAAAAAGAAACCTCTCAACAACTGCGTCGACCTTCTGCACTTATTTTCGTAAATTCATCTCAAAAAGAGCTCTCTTTAGCTGTAAGTGTACGACTGCTTTTGGATTCATAGTAGAATAATTTTTGAATCAACAAAAACGATTGAGCCGGTCATGATTTACCAAAAATATAAGCAGGTTATGGTTTACCAAAAATGTGAGGTGTAACTCAAGTTTTCAGTAGTTGCTAGACGGTATATGTGCACTAGGTTGGCAATTAATTGTTGTCCTTGGAGGATCATTTAATTAGAAGAAGTTCATAAAAGTTTGATTTTACAAAGTGAAACTCGCAAATGTATGCTAGTTTTTGAGCAATATGGTATTGAGTTGGTATATAAGCTTCGCTTCTTCCATAATTTTTTCCTCTCTTATATTGTGAATTTTTGACATTATATGACTTGTGATGTAAGTTACGAAATTGCATAAACCCTTTGATTCTAGATAAAATAATATTGGGAAAGTACAAGCACGGAAGGGTGTTTCTGGAGAATGGAAAAGCTTCTACTAAATTTTTCAGAAAGTTTTTCATTTAAGCAGCAATAAGTATATTAGTGTTTAACACGTTGAAATACCCCAGTGGTTTGAAAATGTAAGGTCTCGCTGCTTTGCAATAGACAGACGCTCTTCCGATTCTGACGTATTCGACTTGTTCAACTTCTCGAGGCGCCAGATTTTAATTTGTCTCTAAATTCAATTTTTTACTGAGTTCAATCCCCAAATGTAACGTTTTGAACTTACAATTTGCTTGGGGACTGGCCATTTAACGCCATTCAAAACCTGAAAAAATTCATTAGGTTATTTCTTTTGCTCTTTAAGATTGGGTCATGAGTGACAGAATAGAGCACCTTGGATAGTATTCTTTCCAGCTTTAAATCCTCTTTGTAATAGTTATTTCTGCTTCCTGCATGGAGGCTTTGCAATAATGCCTCAGCTCTTCAAAAATCTTGCAGATGCGCCCAAACCTTTCATAGGTGCTCAATAAGTAAGAGTAGCAGACGGTCAATTTCCACAAGTTCTCGTGATCATTCGCTCGCAAAAATTTTTATTTTTACCACATTAAATCTTACGAGTACAAGGCGTACCCTTTTCGTTTTTTAAAGCATGTTGTTCAGCCGCTTCGCTATGTTTTACGGAACGATTCTCTTAGACAAAACGCAACACGGTATAAGGCTTTGCTCGCAAAAGCCTTTGGCGTGTTTGGGCTAGTGATTTTAGCAAAAACCCTTGAATAGCCTTGCGTGCCCTTGAATAGTCGCTAATCGAGTCTAAAATAGACCCTTAATTGCTCAGTGGACAAATGCTGCAGCAGGCGGATAGCGGCAGAGCGCGGCAATGGAGACCTTAGTTCAAATTTACGTTTTCGTTTCTTACACCGTTGCTTGCTAAATGTATCATGACGATGTTCTTGATCAGAATTGCCGTACTGTAATAGCTTAGTGCTGTTTTGCGCAGTTATTCTCGGTCTGAGCGTCTTCATTGAGACTAGAAGGAATACAGCTGACAGAATTTTGTGACATTAACCACTAAAGCAACACTTCTGCGCACGTTGCTCACAAAAAAAAAGAGTTGAAAGTGAGCTTCTTATCTGTTTCCTTTCTCGAATCTTAGCTATATTCAAACTTAAAGTCGAGCATAGCAGTAAAAAACAGTGCTTGACAACCACAAAACAGTCAATTTTGATAAAGAACATGCTTATAACAAAAAATTGACAGATAACTACAATGAAAAACGATTTAAAAAACGTATTTGAGATTTGCAAGTAATGATTGGAGCCTAGCGACGTTAAGTAGAGGAGCTATAAACGTAGTACTGCACTGCATCAAATACAATTTGAGGCGCTTCACAGACAGCCTCGTTTCTACGAGATTTTGTGATCGTTCAGAAAATGAGAAAGAAAATGTTTAGAGAGCTAACAGATACGTGAGGAGCTTTCCGGCTTTTTTGAATTCTATATGCATCAGCGATTCATATAGAATTTCGAACATTCTATCATCATCTACTATTTACGACAGTCACCACTTACAAATCGTTTGATTATCTTGACTAATACAAAAAGGCAACAAATGGAATTCCCTTGAGTTGCTGCAGTTAAGTTTGAAACCTTCTTGTTACTGTATACAATCACGTTAGAACTCATCTTAATGAGTGTCGTTTATAATTAGAGTCAAGCGTGGGGTCTGAATGCCATACGGGTGTGGGGGGGGGGGGGTTATTGAGAGGTCAGAGGGGAGGGGGGGGGGGTCGAGGTGAAAGACTAACTAGTTTTTAACGAAAAAGTTCAGTAAATGAGTGAAAACGAGAAGGGGTGGTAGCGGCCATGCTGGGTTCTGGTAAAACACCGTAATGTACATGGCATTTGTCAGCAACATGCCAGACAAACGAAATGCAAACTTATCCTGAGATATAAACCGATCATCATATATCTACCGCAATGGAACAGTGCCCTTTCGCAAAAGTATTGCCTACATTAACATTAGGTTACCTCTCTGCATAAACTTTTAGCAGTTCTTAGAGAAAGGGTAAGCGATTTCCACGGGGAAAAACTACCTATAGGCTTTCAATGGTTACTCCTACGCGCATACTTGGCAACATCGGTAAAGCTTCGACGGCTACACTGTAAAATAAACGATATCAATGGTTCTTATAAGAGGAATTTCAAGCTAATTATCACTGTTCTCAAGATGATTTGAGAGGCACTTCTTTTTTACTTGAATCAAAACACTACTTCGCCCTTCGTTCCATAAATTTCTCTAAACAACTTTCAGTTGAATTATTACAGAAAGCATTTTAGTTTATGCACATAGAATTTGCGCCTAAACGACTGTTGTTGGGAAAAAAAGGGGAAATTGAATCACTCGAGGGAACTACAAGGTAAATGACATGCATATTTTGAGCCAAAACAAACGCTTTCTTTGACACAGAATTTATGGGTCGGGCACAAGCCTCAAAAAAGGTAAAGTTTGCTTGAGCCATACACCACCAATTTTTCCTAGAATATGTCTTGACATTTGATCTCTGAATGGTTTACTAGCTTGAATCTTGTAGAGGCTAAATCAACCAGCATGTTCTGCGTTGATATGCCTTGGACGCAGCGTCGCATGCGACGTGCCTTAACGTTAACGCGTCGTAGAGTTCGCACGCGTCACACTGCACGTTGCAATTTGCCGCAGGCGCGACGTTGCACAACTGATGCTGGTTGGTATAGCCTATATATACATGTGAGAATTTAGCCTGATTTGTCTTCCATGATCAGAGTTATAATGCATGCTGAATCACAAAAAAGACAATCGAAAAACGCAATAAACAAAATTTTGGCAGAGCTTCTGACAATGTTTGATGGTTGTACAAAAGTGGTACTTCTAGCACGAAAAGAAGCTGTAGGTAACGTACGTTTTGCTGAGGATTGAGGAAAAAGAAGGTTGCTTATTGTTAGCCAATTCCAAAACAGAGATAAACATGTAAAAAGATTATTTTAGGAAGCTCAATATTTGGATATTTCAGTTCCCGCTAAAACTTGAAGAATTATCGTCTCTTACGCAGTTGCTGTACATGCTTTGCGTCTCTGCCCTGCGGTACGCGTGGCCAATATGTTAGCAACGTGCAGCAACATGTTGGCGCTGAGGCCGATAGTCAAAATTTTTGGCAACCTGTTGTTGGGTGTTCCAAACGTATTGTAGCAACTACCAAAATGTTAGGGTGTGGGGCGAATCTCACGACCGTAATCTTCCCGCCTAGGACCACTGTCGCGCGCGACACACGCTGCGGCGGCTTTTGCCTAAGCAAAATAGGGAGAGAGAAAATTTGCGGCGTGCGCGACGTGTTGAGACAAGTCAAAATCAGGTTGGCGCTGGAGACCGCCCGTGCGAAAAGACCGTCTCCCACATGTTAGCCATACGTGCGCAAATCAGAGACGCAGACCAAGAGTAGCAGCAAAATGTGGGAGGAACGATAGTTGGCGTGCTTATTACGCGAGTAACACTCACTGCTTGATAGAGCCCTTTGATTATGCTTCTGGTACGGAGATTGATCAAGAGGAAACGTTATATTCAAAAGTTATGTACTTGTTGCTTTTGTCGTATGAAACCGCTTCTGTCACTGAAGGACATGGCATACTTAGCAGTCTTCAAACTTGCCTTGAAGACTTGCAGACCAATAACAAATCATTCCAATCTGACGCTGCACCTTCCTTGTTTATTTTAATTTCAGTTACCAGTTACTTGCCAGTGCTTGCTCTACACGCATTCAGACTTGCAACCCTAGCGTCAGCTCCAATAATTGCATCCAAAGAGGACGTGTTTTCAACACATTATTCGAAGCTATAGAATAGTTAATTCAGTGATAAACTGTTTTGTGGACGATTCTGATTGTTTCAACCCAGCGCTGGACACTGATGATTTTACTGAGTTTTTGCACCTGTTAAACTAGCAACATGTCAAGTCAGACAGGTGTAAAACTTTCCCCATCTTCCTTGCTTTAAATCAACCAACTTCCCTTCAGGTAAGTTGATGCTTGTGAAGCCAGTAGTGGTTAGTTCGTGTTCGACCAGCCTTATGCGTACGTGCCCAAAGCACCGATCTGGTACTTTGTCAGATGCCTGTAAAAAAAGCGTTCGGAACACATCTACATAGGTGCATATGTAGTTCTGAAGCTTATGCATACATGTCAATCTTGCTTACACAAAATGCGACTACGGGGAATTATGAGCAATCGTTGTAATTTGAGTTCGAAGAGGTATGATCGATGTCTAAGAGCCTGGAGGACCAGTAGCAGGTCGCTCGTATTCAAGCTTAAACGACTTTTTTACATCCATATTTCTTGGAATAGAAATTGTCCATGTATAATATCATGAAATTTACTGTAAAATAGAGTAAATTTCTCGCTTTACAGTGTACTCCACCTCTGCATAAGCAATACTTCATTACTTATAAAAGGAAGCATTCGACGCGTTACTTGCGAAGCTACCATTGAGCAGCTGGTTTTTCCATAGGTACTTCCTCGGCGCACCCGCAAGTCGCGCCCTTTTTGATGCTTTTCACCCAGGGCCGACACAGAACGTTTGGAAGCAGGTTGGAATTCGTGTTTGAAGCAAAAAGCAAAGGAAATCAAGTATCAAGAATAAGCGCCATTTAGTCAAACACAAGCTTTTCGGACAGGTTATCGCACGATTGACATGCTCTATCGCGTATGGCGAAAAGTGCGCGCGATTTGAAAGCAAGGCTAAAATAAACAAATAGCTTGTTTACAGTGCACATAGAAGCATATGACACCAAAACTGAATTGTATACATAGCATGAAGACAGAAAATTATTCAAAAGAATTATGCCAAAATATTTGAAAACTTATGTGAAGTATTACCTTTTCCAAGATTAGTCCTTCTCCAGACAGTCACCATTCATTCATACTTTCATTTTCATTAAATACGCTCGAGGCGTACCATTAAAAAAACAGACAATTTATGCTCCAGACGATCTGCGATCGTCTGGAGCATAAATTTTATCACTTCACATAAGTTTCGGATTTTTCTATCATGGACTGATTCCCCGGTCAAAAATCTATCCCTCATCATGAAGACATTTTCATATCATTGCCTTTCCTTTGTAAGACATTTTTATATTATTGCCTTTCCTTTGTTTTTTGTCTTCATTTCTTCATAAATTGCTTTGTGAGATATCGCGCTCCAATGCCAAACTCTTGTGCAGGCGTAGTACTCAGCTCCAATTTGGATTTTCACTCTTATCTTGGGTATCAGACTGGTAAATCTTTCTTGTTTTTATCTTCTCCTAAGCAGGTAGGTCAAACGGGAGTTCGAAAAACTTCCGAAAGTCAGGGGAGACTTCGTTTTCAGAAACTCTAGAAACCGACTCATGCCGGACCCTGTTCTCACTTCACTCATGAGCAATAGAGCACAGTTACGCACACATAGGAAATTGGAAAGTGGAAACCTTTAGGTTTACCTCGAAAGAAACCTATATAAGAATAAAACGCTCGCAGCCCCCTTAGTATCTCAAATTCAATCAATGGTTGCAAATTTCGAACTTGCATTGATGGATGAGCGTAATAAGTATACGTAGAACGAAAAAAACAACAGCATTATTAAAATTTCTCTTCGTAGACATAGGAACTATATAGATGGTAAGAAAATTTCAACGTTGACATCTCTGCAAACAGATCCTTACCGGCTTCTCGAATGGCTCAATTTTGACTGGAACTGTCTACTTCAAAGATCAACAGGAAAGGGACCCTTATATCGTACGAAAAGCTTTGAAGGAATGTTACCTTAGAATTTACTCAAATCTCAATTTTTCGAAAAAAAAAAGGAAACACAAGACTACTACTCAAGACTGAAGCTTTCAGGACTATTAGGACGTGAAACCTCTTCACCGGTTTCGCGGACTGCTTATACCTGAAGAGAGGGAATATGGTGCAGAAAAAGGAGCTTTCAGAAGCTAGGACAGGAAACGCACTGTACGTCTGTTGCGGGTGCGTCGCGTAGATACCTATGAGAAGCTATCCGGGGTCCACACTAAAACACTGTATACTGGCGGGTATGCACTCACTTCAAACCCGCACTCGCTTCAAAGATACCTTGTAAAAATCAGAATGCAATGATTGAGTTGTATGAGATTTGCGCATGTTGCCACCACATACCAAAAGCTGACAGCGCACGAAATTTTTGTTATTAAGCAAAGCAACGATTTCTCGAATTTAATGTGTTCGATTATCCTGCAAGCTTTTTTATTTTCACGATTTCATTCTTTGCAAACAAAAATACCGACAGATCTCTATTGGTAATCCACCACCCTTTGATAAGGCTTTGGTAGAACTCCAGCTGGGTACTAAAGAAAGAATCGAGGTAGGAATCGTGCTTAGCTTCGCCATAGAGCAGTAAGTACCAGTAGCAGTAGTGGTAGTAGTAGTGCCCTTTTGAGTAAATTGCATCAACATTGAAAGATAGGAGTAAATAAGGGCAAAATAAATGAGGTAACTTCAAAGTCGAGATTTGCAGCGTCTCCCGTGAGGCTGGTTGATAGTGTGCCTTGTCATGTATTATAATTTCGGTTTAGACGTAACGCTTGATGCTGGTTACCTATCAAAATTTTCGAACTTACATTATATATGGCTCAGCCCTTTTTATAATCGCCCTAAAAGGGCAAAAGATTTTGCGAAAAATGGACCAAACTTTGCACGCATAAGTTTTGGTTGGGAGTGTTGATATGTATGCCAAGTTTGCTGGAATTTCATCAATAGCTTGATCGATGGTCGATTTTTTGCAATCTTAGGATTGCACAAGCAGGTTCCGACACGAGAGTGGCAAATGACCAAGTGGAAGATGACTCACCATAGCCGCTTTCGATTTCTACGACTTCCCACTTTATCGCGGTATCTGCATGACAGTTTAATTGGAACGCGTTTTCTTTTTAAAGGAGCGGCATCTTTGCTATCTCGGAATCTAACAAGGAGGAAAGGAGGAGGTTGAGGTTTGAAACCAAAATGTTACTTATATGGTAACCTTTGGATGCGGAAATGGTTATGAAAAAATCAAAGTTCCGCCTCTCAGGATGGCATTAGGGTGCTGATTACTGATTCGGGAACAAGTTTGGCATTCCCTTCGTTCACTAAGTTGTTCATATATTGGCCTGTAGAAAATGATGGGACGCTTGGTATTTATTACATCTTGATTTTTTTTGTTTCGAACAGCAACAAACAGGCTGCAACTCAAACGTTACTTCATAAGCGGCCTTCGCTTTAAAGTCTAGCAACGCGTTACCGCTCCCATCCTACAACCATGACGTGACGCCTCGAAGAACTAGAATAAGGTTTATATCCTCAAGTCTTTCAAATGGTACATCGAACCATGCGGGTATTCTCTTTGTTTCCGGGCAAAAAAGTTAGAAAGAAAGATTGCGAATTTTCGGCGCAATAAAAAACCAACAGCTGTTTAGATATTTTTCGAAGACGCATGAAGGTAAAAGTAAACTACATGGATGATGGACGAATAGAATGTAAAGAGTTTAACAGATGGTAGTAAGAAGAATGCGTTTACTTGCGAAGAAGTGAATAACACGTGTCTCTTTCTCGAAACGGCTAATGGCCACTTCTCCTCTTTTATGCTCTATACCATCGAGCCGTCATAAATTTGGTGACTGTCCTTTTACCCATTGCAGCAGTGATATTTTGGTCAGTCGCATGTGTTTCACTGCGCAGATAGTTCTTAAAGTTCATGAATTATGAGAGCTGGCTCCGCTTTTCAGCAAGTATAGGAACTTTTATGTAAAGAGCCTTATATAGATGTCGGCTGGAAAAGAATAATATGTTGCAGCATCTATCGAGATCGGATCATTTAATCAAATCCGTTTCTTAAGAAACCTGCAGTCATTCTTCAAGTGTTCCACTACTTTCCGTTCATCTAATGATTTCTTACTTTGTTATTAATGCGTAGGACGAGTGGCGTAGTGTTATGAGGCGCCGCTATGACCAGATCGAACCTACTCAGACAGTCGATGGGATACCTTCGGAACAGAAGTGGCAGGGTCGCGGGCTTTCCGGAGCAGAGATTTGCGCGTCCCGGAGAGGGGTCCCATTCGTTCTGTTTGTGACGTCACAGTGACGTCACAGTGAATGAATGGGACCCCTCTCCGCGACGCGCAAATCTCTGCTCCGGATGTGCGCCACTTTTGCGAGAGCCCCGGAGCACAAAAATGCGTGAAATGGCAGGGCTCCGGAGCGCGAAGTGGCAGACTGCGTCATATGCCCGCCGGAGGTATCCCTTCGACTGCCCGAGTAAGTTCGATCCCCTCCCTTAGGCCAACCAAGCCTTCTGCCCTCCGGGGCCGGTAAATTGGTACTAGACTAATCTGGGGGGATAAAAGCACTGACTTGGGTAACGGCTGGCCCCTCGCAAGCACTGTAATAGGCTCGCACGCATACTATTGCCTCTTCGACTATGAAGTAGTGTGCGTTCGGCGCATGCCCGCAGAGGGTATTGAAGACGCCGAATCCTTTATCCCTTTTATCCTTTTATTAATGTCTGGGTGTAGTGCAAGAGTATGAAGCAAATGCCAGCTGTTTTTGCCAGTGCATGGTGATGACTATTTGCCTTGCAAAACACGAAGTTTGCACTCAAAACATAGTATTAGGTTGTTACATAAGTCTTGCTACACTTAACTTCTAACGGCGATAAGTCATACACCTCATAATCTTTGCAGGGCTCCAAGGCATCATTCGATAGAGCAAAGCAAGCTCTACAAGAATGTATGCAA